TTTACATGTATGGGAGCCAGATGGCAGATCGACGCGTTTCATGCCCTGGAAACAAAACTGCCAATAAAAATACCAAATCGTCAAAACACTCAGAATGTCGTGAAATACTTTGTATCATACGCGTCCCCGTTCATCATCATGGGGGAGATCCCGTGTACAGGGCCGCTCCTCACTCTTCATCATGGAGGAGATCCCGTGTACAGGGCCGCTCCTCACTCTTCATCATGGAGGAGATCCCGTGTACAGGGCGGGTCCTCACACTTCATCATGGAAGAGATACCGTGTACAGGGCCGCTCCTCACTCTTCATCATGGAGGAGATCCCGTGTACAGGGCGGGTCCTCACACTTCATCATGGAAGAGATACCGTGTACAGGGCCGCTCCTCACTCTTCATCATGGAGGAGATCCCGTGTACAGGGCGGGTCCTCACACTTCATCATGGAAGAGATACCGTGTACAGGGCCGCTCCTCACTCTTCATCATGGAGGAGATCCCGTGTACAGGGCGGGTCCTCACACTTCATCATGGAAGAGATACCGTGTACAGGGCCGCTCCTCACTCTTCATCATGGAGGAGATCCCGTGTACAGGGCGGGTCCTCACACTTCATCATGGAAGAGATACCGTGTACAGGGCCGCTCCTCACTCTTCATCATGGAGGAGATCCCGTGTACAGGGCGGGTCCTCACACTTCATCATGGAAGAGATACCGTGTACAGGGCCGCTCCTCACTCTTCATCATGGAGGAGATCCCGTGTACAGGGCGGGTCCTCACACTTCATCATGGAAGAGATACCGTGTACAGGGCCGCTCCTCACTCTTCATCATGGAGGAGATCCCGTGTACAGGGCGGGTCCTCACACTTCATCATGGAAGAGATACCGTGTACAGGGCCGCTCCTCACTCTTCATCATGGAGGAGATCCCGTGTACAGGGCGGGTCCTCACACTTCATCATGGAAGAGATACCGTGTACAGGGCCGCTCCTCACTCTTCATCATGGAGGAGATCCCGTGTACAGGGCGGGTCCTCACACTTCATCATGGAAGAGATACCGTGTACAGGGCCGCTCCTCACTCTTCATCATGGAGGAGATCCCGTGTACAGGGCGGGTCCTCACACTTCATCATGGAAGAGATACCGTGTACAGGGCCGCTCCTCACTCTTCATCATGGAGGAGATCCCGTGTACAGGGCGGGTCCTCACACTTCATCATGGAAGAGATACCGTGTACAGGGCCGCTCCTCACTCTTCATCATGGAGGAGATCCCGTGTACAGGGCGGGTCCTCACACTTCATCATGGAAGAGATACCGTGTACAGGGCCGCTCCTCACTCTTCATCATGGAGGAGATCCCGTGTACAGGGCGGGTCCTCACACTTCATCATGGAAGAGATACCGTGTACAGGGCCGCTCCTCACTCTTCATCATGGAGGAGATCCCGTGTACAGGGCGGGTCCTCACACTTCATCATGGAAGAGATACCGTGTACAGGGCCGCTCCTCACTCTTCATCATGGAGGAGATCCCGTGTACAGGGCGGGTCCTCACACTTCATCATGGAAGAGATACCGTGTACAGGGCCGCTCCTCACTCTTCATCATGGAGGAGATCCCGTGTACAGGGCGGGTCCTCACACTTCATCATGGAAGAGATACCGTGTACAGGGCCGCTCCTCACTCTTCATCATGGAGGAGATCCCGTGTACAGGGCGGGTCCTCACACTTCATCATGGAAGAGATACCGTGTACAGGGCCGCTCCTCACTCTTCATCATGGAGGAGATCCCGTGTACAGGGCCGCTCCTCACTCTTCATCATGGAGGAGATCCCGTGTACAGGGCCGGTCCTCACTCTTCAGTATGACCCGGTGGAGGAGATCCCGTGTACATGGTGGGTCCTCACTCTTCAGTATAACTCAGTGGAGGAGATCCCGTGTACAGGGTGGGTCCTCACTCTTAGTTATGGAGGAGATCCCGTGTACATGGTGCCTATGCAGTGGCCATTACAAATAAGTCTGTCATGTATTGCTCCACCCATATTGGACCTCACACACTCTACAGGCCAATGGTCTTTAGGTTCTGAAGAATGGGGGGCCTCCACTGTGTCCCCTGTAGTCACCAAGGGGGCCGCACATGACATTCATTATAGGTAATGATACAGAAGACTGCAGACGTACTGGAGGAAATGGTCAGAGACTGGGGACATGAGACTGCTAGAGCTCACTGAGGTCCATGGTCCAAGAACTCCTGGGGGCCAAGGGCAGCATATATAATACCAATGGGGTTCAGACTGGGCCCCAGGACAATAGATGGAGCACCACTTTGGAGGAGGCTGTAGTTCTCCAACCTGCCCACCCAACGCTTCATCGGAAGGATCGATATCCCGAGGTTTCATTGTCCTCAGTCTCCCCTCCCCCAGTGATCAGTCTGCTGCAGGCAGGAGGAAGCATATCCTCAGTCTCCGCTCCCCCAGTGATAAAGCAGATTCTACAATCGGATTGCAGGAAGCATTTCCTCAGTCTCCCCTCCCCCAGTGATCAGACTGCTGCAGGCAGGAGGAAGCATATCCTCAGTCTCCGCTCCCCCAGTGATAAAGCAGATTCTACAATCGGATTGTCACATGTATGACCATCTTTACATTTATATGTTCGGCTGTATTGGGGGTCTCGGCGGTCTGTCGGTCATTCTTCATGTTTTGTGCGGTGTTGTTCTTAGCTCCGCCTCCGTCATGTAAGTTTTGTATTGATCTCGTCCTTTGTGTTGTACATCAGACGTCCTCCCTCTGACACAATGGAGGGGCGAGGTTTGAAGTCGAGTCTTGTGATCCGCAGCCAGCGCTCTCTTATTATTTATACCGCGTGTTCAGCTCCAGGACGTGTGCAGACAGACATTCGCCCCCCCTTCCCCCGGGTCTGTTCAACTCTCCACATGACACAGTAGCTGCTCTTATTAAAGCTGAACTCTGGACTTCCCTTCACTCTGATGTCACTGCACCCTGCGAGCTCCTCACAATGTACATTAGAAGCTGCAGAGAGTCAGATAGAGCCGCCTCATTAGAAATGTATGCCCCATGGCTCTCAATGGCTCTCTGTAGCTCTCAATGGCTCTCTGTAGCTCTCAATTGCTCTCTGTGACTCTCTCTGTGACTCTCAATGGCTCTCTGTAGCTCTCAATGGCTCTCTGTGACTCTCTATGGCTCTCTGTAGCTCTCTATGGCTCTCTGTAGCTCTCAATGGCTCTCTGTAGCTCTCTGTGACTCTCTCTGTGACTCTCAATGGCTCTCTGTGACTCTCAATGGCTCTCTGTGACTCTCAATGGCTCCCTGTAGCTCTCAATGGCTCTCTGTAGCTCTCAGTGACTCTCAATGGCTCTATGTAGCTCTCAATGGCTCTCTGTGACTCTCAATGGCTCTCTGTGACTCTCAATGGCTCTCTGTGACTCTCAATGGCTCTCTGTGACTCTCAATGGCTCTCTGTGACTCTCAATGGCTCTCTGTAGCTCTCAATGGCTCTCTGTAGCTCTCAATGGCTCTCGGTGACTCTCAATTGCTCGCTGTGGCTCTCTATGGCTCTGACTCTCAATGGCTCTCTGTGACTTGCTGGTATATAAGAATTCTGCCCTAGTGAAGTGTATAAATTACAATGTAACCCGTACACAATGAATACACCTGCTGGTCACGTGGTACTGCAGCCGCCATCCCCTTAATGAGGATTTGTCCTGAACAGGTGAGGCTCTCAGCTTGATTGCAGGTCACCTGAGGGGATTCACATGTGATCAGCACCCCTCCCCCATTTATACACAGGTGACTCATTTAGGAAGCTTTGTGGCTGTCAGTCAGTCAGTGTGCTGGAACAAGCCGTGGCTCCAGGTATGTGCAGTGATGTGGATGTCGGCTCTTTGTGGACTTTGGTGATCACATGACATTGAGTTTTGGACATGGGGTGTCCGCCTTGTCCTGGCCGACGGTGTTACGGGGGTTTCCCTGATGGTGGGGAATGCAGTTCAGTGATTGTGAAGTATTTCTCTATGTGGGTCACGTGTGGGGGATTTGCAGCTTCCTGTCCCCCCAACATATGAGAACCCGCCTGTCCATCCTCGGGTCCTTATTGGTGTCTGGGGCCCCCAATAGGGAGTAGTGATGAGCGGGAGCTTGGTGCGAGCCAGAGCAAAGTGATGGCTGACACCCCCCTCCTCCTGACCCAATCAGTCTCACCTAGCCCCAGCTCATCACTACTGGGGAGATCAACCACCCCCCCCCCCTCCTGTACTGGGAGAGGAAGTGACTACAAATCTGAAATGTTACAGTTGTCACCAGAGCCTGGTGTCCCCCCAATGGAGGATTTCACCTCACCTCCTGTTTGCTGCCATTGGGCTAAGAGGGGGAATTTTTTTTTTTTTCCCCCCCCCCCCCCTCCTCACTATTGAGACATTTCCTCACTTCCTGTTGTGTCTCCAGAATAGGAAGTGAATGAAAATCTCCTTAAAGGAACACACAGCAAAAAAAAAAAGATACATTGTACTTTGCATTGATTAAGTTGTTATTGTGTGGAGATAATTTGATATCCTGCCTATAGCGCAGCGTGCGGGCGCTTCCGAAATTGGCAATCCTGAGCGGTTCTCCTGACGCCTGGTACGTGACGCGTCTGTATTTATTTTGGGTGTTTGCTGACATGATTTACGTCGCTCTTCACCCCCCGAGTGTAGAGAGAGATCCGCCGGCTTCCATGACTTGTCATGCCGGGCCTTTGCCAGCTACCTGCTTGACCTCAGCTGCTCTTTGCCCGGGAATGCTGATACTTGTAGTTCCTCCCACAGCGACCTATCAGAATCCCGGTGATGTCACATTCCTTCCCTCAGAGTCATGAAGAAGATGTATTTCCCTCCAGCAATGGCGGCCGCTGTGCAGACAGATCTGTAGGCGGCTGATCAGGTGGATTGTTATTCTGTTGTCTGAGTCTTGTGTCACTGTTGTGATGTATTGTAACTAGGAGGGATGTCGGGTGTCTCGTCCCGAAATAGGTGCCTGACGCCATTCAGTGCCGATCCCATCGCTGCCCAAATCACCTGCCAGGAGCACGCAGTCCTTCCCTCCTCCCTTCCTCCATCAGCATCCAAGGTGACGCCAGAGGACAGAGAGCCGACTGCGGAGAACGCCTGACAGTATCAGGAGAGAGGAGGGGACCCGGTATCAGAATACTGCCGCGCGTGCATGATGACGTTATTGCGCACGCGTGTGGTGACGTCTCGGCGGGGTGACACTCGGTTACCGCTCCGGGTGTCACCCAGCCTCGGGACGCCCCTGCCTGAGACTACAAATGCCATCATGCCTCATGGGACTTGTAGTTCCACAACTGCTGCAGTGCCGGTGTTGCTTACCTTTTGACCTACTGCCGGCTCTAAGGATCTGAGCCCAACTCCAGAGAAAACATTGTATTGGTTTGGTCTGGAGGGATGAAGATCTGGAACCAGTGGGGTTTGTAGATTTCTATCTGATGGAAGTTCTCTCTCTTTCCGCTCTGAGTGTCAAACAGAACAGGAAGTGGAAGCCAGCGGTCCGGTCTCCTCCTTTCCTGGCTTAGAATGTGGGCAGGCTTTGGGAGACCGCAGGTTTTTTCTTCTAGAGCCCCCCTGACCAAGCGAGTGATGTATCAAGTATGCACCTATGTGCAGTTTTTTGGGGAGGTCCCATGAACCATTGAGCTCTGCAGGGAGGTCCCATGAACCATTGAGCTCTGCAGGGAGGTCCCATGAACCATTGAGCTCTGCAGGGAGGTCCCATGAACCACTGAGCTCTGCAGGGAGGTCCCATGAACCACTGAGCTCTGCAGGGAGGTCCCCTGAACCACTGAGCTCTGCACGGAGGTGCCGTGAACCATTGTGCCCTGTAGGGAGGTCCCATGAACCATTGAGCTCTTCAGGGAGGTCCCATGAACCATTGAGCTCTTCAGGGAGGTTCCCTGAACCACTGAGCTCTTCAGGGAGGTTCCCTGAACCACTGAGCTCTGCAGGGAGGTCCCATGAACCACTGAGCTCTGCAGGGAGGTCCCATGAACCACTGAGCTCTTCAGGGAGGTCCCATGAACCATTGTGCTCTTCAGGGAGGTCCCATGAACCACTGAGCTCTGCAGGGAGGTCCCATGAACCGTTGAGCTCTGCAGGGAGGTCCCATGAACCATTGAGCTCTTCAGGGAGGTCCCATGAACCACTGAGCTCTGCAGGGAGGTCCCATGAACCACTGAGCTCTGCAGGGAGGTCCCATGAACCACTGAGCTCTGTAGGGAGGTCCCATTAATCATTGAGCTCTGTAGGGAGGTCCCATTAATCATTGAGCTCTGTAGGGAGGTCCCATGAATCATTGAGCTCTGTAGGGAGGTCCCATGAATCATTGAGCTCTTCAGGGAGGTCCCATGAATCATTGAGCTCTGCAGGGAGGTCCCATGAACCATGGAGCTCTTCAGGGCTGTCCCATGAACCATTGAGCTCTGCAGGGAGGTCCCATGAATCATTGAGCTCTGCAGGGAGGTCCCATGAACCACTGAGCTCTGCAGGGCAATGGATAGGGGGGGGGGGGGTACACCTTGATGTCAGACTCGGGTAAGATACCAATCTAGGCCTCCAGCACATCATGGATGATCTATCATGCTTCCGATGCCACCCGGCAGCTCGTATCTTCCCCGCCATATACCGGGTCATTGACCTTCTCCGGATGATCTCGCCGTGTGCCGCTTCCAGCTCGGTGAGGATAATAAACTGGTTTTGGTTGAATTGAGTCATCTTCTGCCAAGAATCCGATGGGCTGCAGTCTCGGAGCCCGGTGTCTGCACATGTTCACAGTTGTAGTCTCTTTCCCCGTCTCGGTGTTTATGTGCGCCGCGCCCCGGGTGGGGCCCCCAATCTGGTGCCAGCCTCATGCACCTCGTGCACCTCCTTGGCTTGTCTCGTATAATGATTATGGTTCAGACGTCAATAAAACATTATTAGGTCTTGTTCTCTTCCATCACACGTGATGTCCCTGCAATTATCACACCACCTCCGGGCCCGAAGAAATCAAAAAAAAACACGCCCCCAATCATGAGGACCACTTTTCCTTCATACTGCCTCTATAAAGTAACGACAACAATCCATTAGAGCCCTGGTGCCCAACCTGTGGCCCATTGGTACCCACTGTCCAGCCCTTGGGGGACCAGGGAAGGCAAAATAATAAGCAGATTAATCTTCATCTTTGGCGCAGCGATTGGCGTTTGTTTTGGGACACGTTTGGCACTTGGAGGCCGTTCCATCGCCGTGGTGACTCGTGTAATGAGGAGTCTTTGTCATTCTCCCGTCTTGTCATCTCGTTGCCATAACAGGAAATCAATACATTTTTTGAGGGATGCAAACGCTGGATTGGGTCTCCGTGATGGCGGCTATAAAGCGGAATCGCCATCGGCGGTGTGATGGGTCGTGGAGAGTCTCCGGGGCTGCGAGGGCCGAGGGGCTGTAACTTTTGTAGTTTTATGTAAATGAGACAAATCTGAGCGATGCAGAAAACTGACTCCAATCATTCCTATAAAACCATCCAGATCTCTCGTTCCCAGGACTGCACACAGCTGCATGGAACCAAAGTGGTGTCACTCTCACGGACGGTCAGTTTGGTAGGGAGTTTGCAGAATCACAGAAGTAGCTGAACAGAATTTGAAATCCTTTGTCTGCTGTTACAGATGACGTCTGAGAGTCTCGCTGGGTCGCAGCTCAGCATTAACCCCTGCAGAGCTGTTTGGGTTGGTGTTCTGCCAGCTGTGTGATGGTGACACATGGAACGCTCCCCATTTAATTTACTTTAATTGTGATCACATTAAACGGGGTGCAGACTCCATTCTGCCCCGAGATATATGAGTACACCGTGTTCCTCTCCATTGTGGTGGGTGGTGTCAGTGCGGAGTGTCTGCAGGACACTGATGAGACCCTCTGAGACTGGAATGTCCTTGTATAGGGTTATATATAATACCCCCGTGGAGGTCGGGTGGGTCACCCCCGTGTAGGTTGGCTGGGTGGGTCACCCCCGTGTAGGTTGGCTGGGTGGGTCACCCCCGTTTAGGTTGGCTGGGTGGGTCACCCCCGTTTAGGTTGGCTGGGTGGGTCAACTTAAAGCGCACTCTATATATCACATTGAGGGAGTGATATATAATTGGTCTACTTCAGCTGCTGCTGGTCACTTCCTGGGACAGTTCTGTGTTGGGGGGGGGCGGGGCTGTGACACGGGGATGTTCAGGCTCAGAATGGGGTCCCCCACAGAGCGGACTGGCTGTATAGATCAATCATCAGTCTGCAGATTTGATGGGTTCTGGGTCTGCGGAGGTTACATTTTTAAGTCCTTTAACCCCCGGCGTGCCATAACCGCAGTGACACAACAGGTAGCTGAGAACACATTACATCACAGGAGACGCATTGGGCACCGTGCCAGCTGCGGTTACTGCTGGGCCGCAGGCTCTTGTAGCGCAGGCTCTTGTGCTGTGCCCCTTCTAAGGCAACAAGTTCCCAAACGCATGATTAATCCTCTTTTTATGAACTCCTCCAGATTGTTACAATGTTACCTGGCAGGGCCGGGGCGAGGCCGCTGTGTGAAAGCTCTGGCTCATACCTAAGGCATTGCATCAGTGCGTGAAATGCGCGGGGCTGCGAGCGCACACAGACCTCTCCTCCCTCCACATCCCGGGATACACCTGTGTGTGCGAGCCAATAAAATGGGTGACGAGTCCGGGCCGGGCACAGACCCAACGGCTTTAATAATTAGGAACGCATTGTATCAGAGAAGGCCGCACACTGGGAGGACGTGGAGGCTCAGACGTGGCTCCCGCAGTACATGGGGGCGACATGTACAGTTCATTGTCTATGGACAAGTGGGGGACAGAGAGGCTTTTACATTGTACAAGCTTGACATTCCATATTTTTATGGAGCGTTGTCACCCTATAAAAGGAAGTACCTGAACAGGGACGGAGCATTGCCACCCTATAACAGGAAGTGCCTGAACAGGGATTGGGTCTGGGTCAGGGGGGACATCCTGTATAGACACAGGTCTATACAGGATGTCCCCCCTGACCCAGACCCAATCCCTGTTCAGGGACTTCCTGTTATAGGGTGGCAATGCTCTGTCCTTGTTCAGGCACTTCCTGTTATAGGGTGACGATACTCCGTCCCTGTTCAGACACTTCCTGTTATAGGGTGACACCACTCTGCCTTGTTCAGGCATTTCCTGTTTTAGGGTGACAATGCTCTGCCCTTCTCTTCCATTTGTGCCCCTGTGTTGCCACCCTGTCACATGCTCCTCCCGATGGAGACTACAAGCAGTAGTAGCTGACACACATTGCACAGGCATGGTCCTTTGTTGTCTCTATCAGAAGGCCAGGCCAGAGCGCTAATGTGCAGCCAACCCTGGAGTAAGTTATGCAAGACCGACATATTTCAGGTGTTGTTGTCTTTCTGCTCAATTCTTCTCCAGCAGAAAGAAACGAAATCCGCAATTCTCTGAGTGACAAGAGACGGGTGCCGATTACATAATACCGCCGGAACGTAAGATGCCCGGGGCGAGGGCACAGGGGGGGGGGGGGTGCCTCGGG